GTGTGTAATTTTTGCTTTAGAGCATGCGCGCTCACCAGAGAGAGAGGGAAAATGAGAAAGCACCTCCTGGGGAGATGGCAACATTACAATCCCTTCTCCAGTCTCCTCTCAGGATTTTGGGCACACACGCACATGCCCCTGACATGTTTTACAAGCCACCTGGTCTGGACCTGAACTGCAGCCATGTGAGATCCAGTGCCTTAACCACCACGCTACCAGCTGGCCTTCAGCTAATATTTTAAATTCATTTTGACTCAAAGGACATTCAACCCTATAAAGAATGTCAATTTATGTACTAAAAGATCAAATTTATGACAGTTTTTTTGAGAGATTTTTGCTATAGGGTACATGCACTCTCCAGAGTGACGGAAAGACAGAAAATGAGAAATCACTCCCTAGGGGGATGGCCATGCCACAGTCTCTTCTCTTCCATTCTCCTCTTGGGATTTTGGAGACACACACACACACATGTACCTGATGGAAGTTTTAAGTCACCGGATCCAGGACTCAAGCTGTGGTCAACTACGTGGGAGTCCAGCAACGTAACCATTATACCATCTGCTGGTCCCAATATTTTTTATCTTTTTTCATTTGTCAAAGAATAATTTCAGTTAACTGTGAAAAAAATAGGTTTTTTTCATAATGAACAGTGTTCTATCTCAAAACTCTGGATTTTGGTCCAGCTACAGAGGCACAGGTGGTGGGAGTGCTGCTCACCACCCTGGGGTTTATGTCCTAGACTACCTCTACAGGCAGTAGTGCCCATGATCCTCACTGGCTTCAGAATACACGATTTGGCAGAGGATTCCAGCAAGAAGATCCTGTCACAGTGCCTTTCTCCCCCAACTCCATCTCCATCTCTGGAAATAAATATATAAACTGGGACCAGCAGTTAGCATAATGACTATGTCACTGGACTCCCATGTAGTCGACCTTGGTTTGAGTCCCGGACCTGGTGGCTTAAACTCACACCAGGTGCGTGTGTGTGCATGCCCAAGATCCCGAGAGGAGAATGGAGGAGAAGGGATTGCAGCATGGCCATCCCCCCCGGGGGGTGATTTCTCACTTTCTGTCTCTCTCTGTTTCTCTCTGTCTTTCTGGCGAGCACACACACCCTATAGCAAAAACCTCTCCAAAAAAAGAAAAAGAAATATATAAACTAAAAAGAACAACAACTTTGTATTTAATAGGATTTTAAATCCAGAGATTTATGCTTTCCTTATTGCTTTATTCTATTCTATGATATATATTAAAACTATCTGCACAAGGGCCAGCAGGTGATGTGGCAGTTAAGGCGTTGGACTCCTGTATGGTTGCAGTTAGAAAATCATGAAAATCACACTGGTGCATGTGCGTGCGTGCCCAAAATTCTGAGAGGAGAATGGAGGATGAAGGAGAAGGGGTTGTGGCATGGCCATCCTCCCTAAAGGGTGATTTCTTACTTTCTTTTTCTCTGTGTCTGTTTCTCTCTCTGGCAAGCACACATGCCCTATGACAGAAACCTTTAAAAAAAAAAAAAAAAGGGCCAGCAGATGGCATAGTGGTTAAGGTACTGGACTCTCACATGGCTGACTGCGGTTTGAGTCCTGGACCTGGCAGCTTGAAACTCACATCAGGCACATGTGCGTGTTTGCCTAAAATCCCAGGAGGAGAATAGAAAATAAGGAATTGAATCATGGCCATTCTCCCTGAGAGGCGATTTCTCACTTTCCCTCTCTGTCTCTCTCCAGTAAATGTACGTACCCTATAGCAAAAACCTTTAAAAAAATAAAATAAAAAAGCGAAGTGTGTTCAGTTTTATCAGCAGACTCTATGAAAAGCATCATTAACGGATAAAGTTTTTAACTCATCCGGTATATATGTAATAGCTCTGTGAATCATCACCATTTTATGGAACTTTTGGGAAAAAAAATAGAAGACAATGAATTTTTGTTAAATGACACGTGATCTCTGTACTTGCATTTTTCTCGCTGGTAAGTACTGTCTATGAAGGAGCGAAAGGAGAAAAACTAAGGAAAGGGAAAGCTTATTTGAAACCTCGCTGGTCAGGTGTGAGAATTTATGTTGAAATGGAAACTTCTCATAATACAAATCAATAATAATGATGTTATATATTCTCCCCACCTAAGTCAATATGCCAAAGATTTTTGTTAGAGCAGGTTGTTATGTAAGTTGGCTGCAAGACCTATAAGAAAAAAATATGAAGAACATATTGGGGTGCTAACCAATTTAAATGCTTTCAAATTATGTAGTAATGCTGTTTTGAGTTCACTATTATCAAATTGACAGCAAGAGTTAGATAATTCCCTTAAAGGACAGAAATCATTTTGAAACTGATAGACTGGTTTTTTTTTTTTTCAGGTTTGGTTTTTTGGTTTGTTTGGTTGATTTGGGGGTTTCTGTTCGTTTTTTGTTTTTTGAGTTTTTTGGGGGAAGGGTTGTTTGTTTGTTTACCATAGGACATGCGTACTCAAAGGAGAGACAGAGACAGGGAAAGTTAGAACTCACTCCCCAAGGGGGATGGCCACGCAGCAATCCCTTCTCCTCCAGACTCCTCTCAGTATTTTGGGCACATACACATACATGTCCGTTGTGATTTTCAAGCCACCGGGTCTGGAACCTGAACCTTAGTCGGCCATGTAGGAGTCCGGTGCCTTAACCATGACACCATCTGCTGATCTCAAAATGGATAGACTTTTGCTTCAAAGTCAAATCAGTTTCAAAAAGATAAACCAGTTTTGTCATTAACTTAAAGGACATTTAAATTTGGCCACTTAATTCAGTTACTGAAAAACTTTAAAGTTTTAAAACAACTTTTTAACTTTTTTTAAAAATTTTTTGAGAGTTTTTTGTTTTGTTTTGTTTTGTTTTTTACTATAGGGCACATGTACTCGCCAGAAAGACAGACAGAGAGACAGAAAGTGAGAAATCACCCCGCAGCGGGGATGGCCACGCTGCTATTCCTTCTCCTCCATTCTCCTCTCAGGATCTTGGGCATGCACGCACATGCACCCGGCATGAGTTTAAGCCACCGGGTCCGGGACTTGAACCACGATTGACTACATGGGAGTCCAGCAACATAACCATTACGCTAACTGCTGATCCCACAACCTTTTAACTTTAAAAACAACTGGATACGTCCATCTACCTTTTCAACTCTTAATTTTACTATATCTAAATACAGATCAACTATTTATGATGAAAGGTAACCACACGAATTGAGATTCACTGTATGTGCAAAATGTACACCAGATTTTAACGACTTAATGTGAAAAAATATATTAAAATTTCAACAATGTTTTTAAAAGAGAGAGATTTTTGCTATAAGGTGCATGCACTCACCAGAGAGACAGAGAGACAGGAAGACATCACCCCTCAGAGGGGACGGCCACACCACAATCCCCTTTCCTCCATTCTATTCTTGGGAGTTTGGGCGCGCACACACACAAACACACCCAGCATGAAAATTCAATGGCTTTTATATTAATTACATATTATTATACATTGGATATATTTTACCTGCTTCTTTACCTTTTTCCAAATTTCTTTTCTTTCTTTCATGAGAAAGAGAGAGATTACCAGTTTACTCTCTCCCCATTTTACCCCCAATTCTCCTAACCAGTCAGGACTCCTTCATGAGTGATTCTGATATGTTTAGGTCAACCCAGGATCTGAACTTGGGTCTCTCGGGTAGCCCCAGTAGTGGCTGGACCTTCCTTTCCTTTTCCAAATGTAGCTATTGGAAAATTTTAAATTACACCTGTGGTTCACCTTATTATTTTTACTGAGCAACAGTGAACTAAATGAGGACCACAGAATTCTGCTCAGGAGGCTGAGACCACAGATTCCCAACTGGCTACAAGACAAGCTTCCCCACCCCTATCAAATAGACCCAGACTATTCGGTTGTTGTGCGAATTAAATTGGAAAATATACGTACAGTGCCTAAAAGGAAGTCTGGCACCTAGTAAGAACTGTGTACGTATGAGCTATTATTCTTGCTATTAGTATTACTGGCCAGCACTTATAAAAATGCAATTTAACAGAGAAACATCAAAAAGAATGCTTGGCCCAGATTAAAAATGCACACATGGGGACCAACAGGTGGCATGATGGTGAAAGCATTGGATTCCCAAATGGCTACCAATAGTTCAAGTCTTGAATTTGGCAGCTAGAAACTTACACCAGTCGCCAGTGTATGTGTGCTCAAAATCCCAGGAGGAAAATAGAGGAGAACAGATGGCAGCATGGTCATCCTTCCCACCCCCTAGTGGCAGATTCCTCATTTTCCCTCTCACTGTCTCTATCGCTCTCTGGCAAGCACACGTGCCATATATCAAAAACAAAAAATAAAAAACACACACATCACCAGTAAACCAGCAACTGGACAAGCTGAGGACTTGTCCTGTGATCACGTCCTCCCACCAGATCTGTGACCAGGACCATGCGAGTAAGGCACTTGCCCCGGTGCAAAATTTAAGGGGATACCAAAAACAAACAAACAAACCCGCGGTAATCAAGATAAACAATTCTAATGCAACACTTTAATTGCTCCAAATTAATAAATCTTTTAAAAGCCCACAATTAATTAGATATCAAAATCCAAAACAAAGACACGCGTTGACACTGTCCATTTCTCCTTTACCCCGAGTGTCCACACGGCTGGGAAAAGCACCATTTCTGGTCTTACCTGACGTGAGGCCTGCCCACTGCCACTTCTCCATGGCGGGTGAAGGGACTGCGGTGACAAAGGGACAGCAATGGGCCCGGAGCCAGCAGCCCAGAGGTGCTTTCCATTTTCTTACAAATCAGACCAGGCGCTGCAGCAGAGGAGGTCTTCGCAGTCAGGCGGGAACTGGGCAGCGGGGCCTCGTTCCCAGCATGTGGCTCTTCCCAGGATGCCCCGCGGCTCTTCCCAGTGTGCCCCGCGGCTCTTCCCAGGATGCCCCGCGGCTCCTCCCAGGATGCCCCGCGGCTCTTCCCAGAATGCCCTGCGGGGGACCAGCGAGCCGTTACCACCTCCTGTGCAGGCAGCGCGGATCGCCCGGCCTGGAAACGCGACTATGGACCGCAAACATCAAGGCATCGCCTCCAACTGGAGCTCCATGGGCATCGGCGTCCACAGCCCCCTGGATTCCCTGGTGCTGTCGGTGTACCTCCTGTTGGTCGTGGGCGTCGGGCTGAAGGTACGTGGGGTTCACAGGGGAAGCGAGGGCTCGGGACACTCAGGTGGAGTGACCCCTCCTGCCAGTCACCTGGCCGCCTGTGCACAGCCTCCACCTAGACTTCCCACCCTCCCCGCCAAGGTATGCTGCTTCCTCTGCAGAGAAGCCATCCTGGATCTTTACGCCACCCACCCACACCCCAGGCAGAAAAACAGAAAATGAATCAAATCAAATGCCCCTGAGCCCACTTCCTGGAACCTGGAATGTAAATGATTTTTCGGAAGAAATTGTTGTTATCATGGTAGTCGTGACAGCTACCAGGATTAAAGTTAAATGCCATTGCACCTGCCTGTACCCACTTCTTTGGAAACATCCAATCCTCACGACTGTGCTGTAACATTTTTCAGAGGTAAGCGACAATTGGAATGATAGAGTTTAAATGGGAACCTGGATCTGGCTGATCTGATTCTTAACCTTAACTACTCTGCCTTGCCGCCAAGACCTCAAAGGTCACATGTAACTTAGGGTTTTCAGTGTTGCCTTCAAATTTGAATAATTAGTTTATATTTTTTTGGTGGAAGGTTGTCTTACTAGGGTCTTTTTAAAAATTATTATTTATTTTATTTGTTATCATTATTTTAATTTGATGAGAGAGAGAGACAGAGAGAGAAAGGGAAAATGAGAAAGCAAGCCACCAGGTCCAGGACTTGAACTGTGGTCGGCCATGTGGGAGTTCAGCACCTTAACCACTCCACCACCTGCTGGCCCCATCTTACCAGGGCTTAACACGTCTTTGTTGCCATCTAGAGTTTAGCATGTAAGGACTCAAAAAGACTTCTTGTAGCCATGTTACCCCAGGCCTGACCCTGGCTCCATTCCACTGAAAGGTTTGGTTGGTATTACAGTCTTCCCTTGGCTGAGCTCAGCCGTCAAAGACCTGACTTGTCTTACCAAAGAGTGCTGGGGACAATGCCATCAATTTCTAATTGGTGGGAAGTTTTTCATCCTGGGCAGTCCCTGCCCAACGGAAGCTTTCATACCCATGTGACCTTACTTTGAGGTGTTTCACTAAGGCACAGGCGGGACCTTACTGTGAAGAATCTGGTCCTTCAAAAATACAGTCAATGGGGCCCAGCAGATGGCATAATATTCACATTACTGGACTCTCACATGGCCCACTGAAGTTCAAGGCCCTGACCTAGAGGCTTGAAACTCATAACAGGTGCATGTGTGTGGGTCCCCAAAATTCCACGAGGAGAATGAAGGAAAAGGGATTGTGGCGTGCTATCCCCCCTGGGGTTGATTTCTCACTTTCTGTCTCTCTGGTGAGTACACACACCCTATAGCGAAAAATCTCTCTTAAAAAATAATAATAAAAATACAGTCAATGGACATTCTTGAGTGCTTACACTGCTAGTGGGCAAGTGGAATAATAGAGACATGCACTCTCTCCTAGTAAGAAAATCTTGTACCAGAAGAAAAAATATGGAAACTTTATTCCATATCTAAAGGGGAAACCTAAGTTATTTATCCTGATCATTCAAACAAACCATTTTTTTTTTAAATTGACCTCAATCATGAGAAACATGCTTCGAGGTGGCCTAAGCAAGGCCTCTGAGTAGTGCACACCTGTTTTAGGACCATCCCCCAGTGCTCTTATTGAATTAGGAAGCTCCCACACGGCTTTCTGTTGGCCTCACACAGGGTCTACGTCTGGCCGAGGTCTCAGGACTAATAAGCCATCTGGTCACTTCCAACAAAAACCTGCTGTTCCTTCTGTTCTGGGAGCCACACAACATGCACAGATCTCCAGACTGTTTTGATCCTCTTCCTTCTTTATATTATCTTCCCCTTGGTTCTTTTAAAGTCATATGTAGTTGCTAATCACACGAGCATACCTGCTCCTTGTAAGAAGTGAAAGATACATAAATATTTAAACTATTCTTTTCACATCATTTCCTATCTCACCGAGGTCACCAGAGACCGTGTATCCTTTCCTCCTTCCTCAATATTTATGCAAACATACACATGTAGAGTGTTCGAGCGGTGTCTTCACAAGAGAATGGGATCCTGTTATACACATTACTTTGCACCTTGCTGTTAATTGACTTCCTGTATTATGGAGAGTCCTGCAAGCGAATAGAGCGAGCTCTGGCTCATGTTTGGATTAGCTGCATCATAGTCATATGAATGTGTGTACATATTCCCCTACTGTCCCGACCCGGGGGGACAGCCGAACGGGTTTCCTGAGTGAAGGAGTGAGAGCCGGGACAAGCGGCGTAGTGTTACAGCACGGAGACGACAGTGTCATCCGTTTATTGTGGGCAGCACGGTAC